GATTGGTGATCTCACTTTGGTGCTTATTTGGTGCACTGTTTTTCCAGTTGAATATCTTGACATTAGGAAACAAAGCCCTGCCTCTACCAAGAAAGCTTCCTCCACACAGAGACACAGTGCAGGATACGGCAAAGCCAGTCAGTAATGAGGAAAAGATCAGGTGCATGGAGGCCAAAGGCAAACTTGATGACTAGTCATTTGCCCTTTCCCTGCCTTTTTTACATTCAGCTATCAAAGTTCAGTTCCTCTTTAAAAGGAGAACTATGGGGTCAGTGTTTTTCCCCATAGTTCTCCTTAGGGTAACGGGAGGACACAAACTAGCGTCCTCCCGTCACCCTAAGCTCAGTATACCGCTAGCTACAGCTCGCGGTATACTGAGACGCCGGAGCGGATCCTGACATCGATGTCGAGATCCGCCCAGCTGCGTGAGTGACAGCTGGCTCTGCCTATCTAGAGGCAGAGCCAGCTGTACTCGCCCCCTCCCCGTCTGTTCCGCCAGTTAGCGCTGGCGGATCGGAGCGGGGAGGGAGGAATCCATCCCCTCCCCTGTCACGGCAGAGAGCCGTGACAGGATCGAGAAGTGAGCGAACACCGGCATGTGTTCCCTCACTTCCAGATCTACTGAGCCGACCTGTGACAGTCTCATTGTCACAGGTCAGCTAGAACTATGAGGTGAGTGAAAAGCACTCACCTCATAGTTCTCCTTTAATGGCTCAGTTCACTTTATGGTTGGGGGGTTGAATGTTACACCACTGAGAGGGTGAACACTGTCTATTGAATTTAATAAATTCTCCTGGCAAACCCCCCCACTATCATGGGAAGGGCAGTCAAGCCATGAGCAGACAACTGCCCAAAAAGACATTGCACTTGATACCCTTATGCATCCAATACGAACAAAGCTTAATTGCACTGTGTGCTTTTCCTTGAGGCTATGCCTACATGGGGGGATTTAATCTGTTTCCTATCAAAAGATTTAACCACTTTTGGGCAGCCACATCATTTACAGTGCTCTAAAATCAATGTGATACTAATGAGATGATTGTGAGCAAATCAATTTCTCAGTAGTAGGGATAAGCAAATTGATTCTCAAATGAAGCAAATTGACAAATCATACATTTATGTTTTGCCTGGATATTTCCATGCAGATTTGTTCTTTTATATGCGGGAATCCGGACAATTGTACAGTTGTCCCTAGTTAGTTTATTACTTCCTATAGCAAATATTTTAATTGTCTTTGTAGCCCCAAGCTTAGCTATTTATGACTTTGTTCAGGAAATTATCACAATAATCAAAAAATCTTAAAGTCCCACTCTAGCCATGAAAAAAATACCCTTGTAGTTCCCTTACAATGGGAGTTCAAAGGTTGAGTGCTCACTAAGTCTAAGGGTAGAGCAAAAAGGTTAAATACTTACCTTATTTCTCCCTACAGCAGTCTCTCTCCATGTGTGATTGGTCCCCAAAAGCCTCTTCTCTTAGATGTTGTGGCTGGTGGCATGCTGACGTCATCAGGTACAATGCAGGGCCAATATTCCTTCATGGTATGCGAGAATGGCAAGGGCCCGCCCTCAACCTGGATCGTCAGAGAGAAAAGGAAAACACCAGGGCCTGCCAGAGCAAGGACTAAATTAAGGGGTTCATTTACAGAAGTTATACGCTGGGTGAATGTCGTTTGCAGGGCACTAGCTCTCCTAGATGGTGCTGACAAGTACAGTATATAATTGTGAACTTTTGTAAATTAAGCCCTTTAAGTATTAAGTATTACACCTTATTCCTCTACCCTAGACTTGAGAATTTAACCATTGCAGTGTGTGTGTGTGTGTGTGTGGGGGGGGG